CAGAAAATATGTCAGAGCCTCAAAACGACCACAATACAAGATGGGCTTGGCACAGGAGTTCAATGATACGGTGCAGATTGACAACTACCACTGGCGAGGCAACCTGTTCCTCCTGATGATTGATGAAGCTACTCGATACAAGGTTGCATCAATACTTCCAGGACGAGAGCTCCATCAATATCTCCAGGCGATCAACACCAAATGGATCCGATACTTCGGACCTATGAAGAAGCTGGTCACCGATCAAGAAAGCTGCTTGATGACCGTTGAAGCAGGAGCAGAACTGGAAAGAGTTGGCATTGCTCGCATCCCTATGCGAACCACATCAGGAAAAGAAGGACAGAAGCACACCGGCACTGGTCTGGCAGAAAGACACATTGGTCTCATCAAGATCACCATGGCCAAGATCGAAGCAGAAGCTGCACATTACGGCATTTCTCTGGAACCTGATGATTCCGCAGCTGAAGCAGCCATGGCACAGAACCAGACCATGAATTTCGGTGGCTACACGCCCTCGATGATGCTGTTTGGAGTTCTTCCCAGAGGATACTTTGATCCTGAAGAAACACCTCTGGCAGTCAGCAATCAAGATGCTGGACACACCAATTTGGAACAAGCAGCGCGACTTCGCCAAATAGCGCTCCAGTCAGCACAAGCATCCATCCTTGAAGACAGAGTCACAAGAGCCTCCAGATCTAGACCAGAGAAAGTTGATCTCAGCCAAATGGTTGTTGGCTCCACCACGGTCGAGATCTATCGTGAAGATGGAAACCATGGATGGCGAGGCCCTGCGCTTCTTCTCAAAGTCAATGAAAGCGAGGGCAGCTGCATTGTTGAGTACCAGGGCAGACCATATCTCACGAGCTTGCGGCACATCCGTCCATTTCGAGGATCATTCATGATCTACCACTCTGACAACAAGACCTACGACTTGGACGACAACCTGATGAAGCTCCAAAAGATGGTTGAAGAATGTGCGCCTCACAAAATGCACATCATTGGACAGCTCATGAAGATAGACACGAAACAACATACACGACAAGTACAACAAGTGCCAATACAGATGACACCACAAGATCATCAAGTGCTCGAACAAGCAATCGCTGTTGGAAAGCTTCTGACAAAACGATTTCTACACGGTATCTGCTATGGCAAGGCCATGAAGAACATCTATGTCCCAAAGTACTCCAAGGGCATCCTCATTTGCTGGCCTGAAGGTTCACAGCAGATGACCGAACACAACAGTGATCAACATCTGAAGTTGAAGAAGGTATTGCACCGCAACCACGACCATGTATGCTTCATTTACTTCTACTACTACATCATCTACTCAGAAGAAGTTCCTCCTGCAGCAACCTCTGCAAGGACCACCAATGAAGCTATGGATGTGAATGACAATGACGACAGCAAGATGGACACCTCAGAGAACAAGAAAAGAGAAAGTCCAGAAACAAGAACAGTGGTGCTAGCTCCAGAAAAGAAAAGGCAGCGCATCGAGTTCGTCATCTCAGAGAGTCAGCTCATGGCCAAGTCCCTCTGGTACATGGCTCAGCACAGACAAATGATCCAATGGGAACCAGTGCATGAATGGTGGAATGAACATGATCCAGAACTACCAGATCCACCAACATCATCCTTGGCTACCAGAACACCTCAGGACGAGAAACTGCTGTTCCACTACTACGGCAAGACAGAAGGATACTTTCACGTAGACCTTAGAACACAAGAGGTCTTTAGAGTGGACAGTGACACAGACGTCCTGACAGAAGAACAATTGGCCAAGCACTGGGCCGACTTTGAAGAGTCAGACTTTCTGGAGATCAAACAGTTCGTGGACGAGGACGCCTTTGACAAGATGCACGTGAACCAGTTGACACAAGAGATGGTCCTGGTGGACTGCACCTGGGTTCGCAAGTACAAGAGAACTCCAGAGAAGAAGATGAAAGCCAAATCCAGGCAATGTGCAAGAGGATTCATGGATCCACAGAAGACATCAATGACCACAAGATCGACGACGGCAACACGACTGTCGCAAAGGATCCTCCTCTCACTGGCAGCAGTCTTCCAGCTGGCAGTGGAATCATTGGACGTTTCTGGCGCCTTCCTCAAAGGACTTTCCTTCAACCAGGTGAAGAAGCTTTTGAATGAACGTGGCATCAAAAGTCCATCGAGAGCAGTGGTCATTCAACCACCTGCCAATGTCTGGCGACACCTCGGCAGACTAAGCGACAAGTTCAAGTCGCCGAGGACAAGATCCACGAATGGCTTCTTTGGTGCAAGAAACCCATATATGGCTTGAATGATGCACCTCTGGCATGGCAGCTATGTTTGCACGAATATCTCAAGTCGTGCGGTGGAGTACAAAGCCAGCTTGACGAAAACATGTTTTTCTGGAAGACACCCACTGGCGCTCCCAGCATGATTTTGACCACGCAGGTAGATGATATCGCAATAGCTGCTGATCCACTGGCCATCGACAATATGCACCGGAAGTTCCAAGTCCAATTTGACAAGGTGCCAAGACAAGGTATGCCCTTTGTTCACTGCGGCTGTCGCTACAACAAGATGACACAAGGCTACTCTGTGGATCAAACAGAATTCGCTGAGAACCTCAAAACGGTCCAGATCAAAGAGAACGACAAGGACGATCGAACACTGGTCAAAGAAGAGGTAACCTCTTTTCGATCCATCCTAGGTGGCCTTTTGTGGTTGACCGCTACAAGAGTGGACCTCATTGCCGACGTCTGCCAACTGCAGACCTTTGTCACTCAGGCCAAGGTGAAGCATCTTCGTATGGCCAACTCAATTGTGAAGAAAGTCCAGGACAAGAAGATGATTTCCCTCGGCATCATCTTCCGCTTCTTCAAGAGAAGCGACAAGCTGCGAATAGCCTGCATACACGATGCAAGCGCAGCATCTAAAGAAAGGAACTATGCCAATGAAGGCATCCTGGTGCTCCTCACCACTGACAACCTCGACCTGGATCCAAGAGTTCACAACATAGATGGAGAGAACAGCAATCCTGGCATCTTTGGTGGACCGGCTCACATCCTATGGTCGCAAGGCAACAAGGCCAAACGAATCTCCTACTCGACCTCCCATGGGGAGACATTAGCAGCCATCAACGGTTTGGAATCCGCAACACTGGTTGCACTTCGCTTGGGCGAAATCCTGATCGCCGAGCCTGCACCCTCCTTACAGCAACTCGCCTCACTTCAAGAACGTGGGGCGCCGTTTCTTCCAGTTGATGTTTATACTGACTGTAACGACTTCTTTGAGTTGAGTACGGGTAGTAAGTCGTTGCCCCAGGATAAGGGTCAGAGGATCTACATATTAGCCCGCCGGGAAGCCAGACTAGTTGGTCGCATTCGCTGGATAGTTTTGATTCGGTTTCCCACCGAATCCATGACAGCAGATGCACTAACTAAAAGCATGATTTCACCGTGCCTCCTGCACCTTCAGTCGACCGGCATCGTTCGTTTTGCAAACACTGGCACACACGTGATCAAAGCAAGACGTCTTCCGGTCTTGGATCAAGAGATCATTGAAACTGATCTCCTAGAGGGTGATTCGAGATTCATCTCACCTTCGGCAAGTTCGACCTCCTTTCGAGCCTCACCTCACACCATGTTCATGTTGTTTGTGTTCGGCAACCTCATGTTGGTGACAAGTAGCACCGTGAACGAAGAGCCTGAAGGATCGAACATGTTTTTCTATGGACTTGTTGGCTCGACAGCAGTGATCGCCATTTTGCTGTGGAAGTTTCTCGTGATCGTGATCGGTAGTCTCGGCAACGCTATGAGCAGCTTGATGGGACAGAAGAATCAAGCTGAGAAGGACACCGCGACCCTGACGACCACGACGGCATCCATGGCCGCAGCGCTCCAAGAGAAGATCAACGAGCTCACAGAAGCCCTGAAGGATCAGGAAGAAGAGACAGAGCAATGTGCGCCGCACGATGATCCACGAGATCAAGGTCCGTGACAAGGACATCATCGAGCTCCAGCAAAAGCTCAAGGACACGAAAGCCATTTTGGAAGATCGTGACATCGAGCTGCATGAAGTGCGAAGGACTATGGCATGTGAGATTGATGGCCGCAACAAGCGGAACACGGCACTTCACCGAGAGCTGGAGCACAGTGTGAAGGAGAACGAAGAGTTGAAGCGTGTGAAACGCCAAAATTTGTACCTGTCTGACCTGATCGACGAATACAGTCGAAAGACACCTCTCGGAAAGGAAGTGTACATAGCAGGTCATGGCAGTGTCTTTCATGTGACACGTACATGATCAAAGTTGAAAGTGGCCAAGAGCGTCACAACATACCGCTCATGTGAATGCTGCGCATATGCCCCAACGAACATGCTAAGCTCCACTTCAAGCAGCAGCACAGGCAAGAGCGGAATGAAGATTTGAGCACTCACCACATGTACAGATTTGAGCTTGACCGCAGGTGCACCTTTTCGCAGTTCAAAAGTATCGCTACCAAGTCTTTCATTGTCTCTGTCTTTTCCTTGTTATGTAAATTGCATTTGTTCTGCAAATTGTCGTTGTTTTTCTGTCCGTTTCTTTGTTTCTGGCTTTCGTTCTTTCTGTTTTTCTTTGGTTCTGTCTTTCTTTGTGTCGTTCTTTTTTGTTTTGGCTTCGTTTTTTTAATCTGTCTTTCTCTCGTTGTTCTTTTTGTCGGTGGTAGTGTCCATTGGGGCACTTCAAAGATGCATTTGATTTGCTCATGCAGATTCTGAAAGATGTTTTATGATGCGTTTTTTGTGGGCTGCCTTTAGAACATCAAGGCCACGACCTATGTTCATGTTCACTTGTAGGGACAAATTCTTCACGGGCATGCATAGAGCGTCCCTAGTGGAATTCACCACAAGGTCCCTTGTTCCCTTTCCCCTGCCCCTTCCCTTCTGTTTTTTCTCCGATTTTCGAAACACGGCGAATTTAGACGCAAAGGGGAGGTTTGTCTTCACTGTTTCGGCCTTCGGTTTGCCGTTTGAAGGAGCAATTGCGACCTGCGGAACTCTCGTTAAGTGCCTCGCGGCGGTCAGATGCGGCACACGAGGAGCTCGAAGAGGCGAAAGTCGGCATCGCTACGGAGCAAAGGGCCTTACTAACAAGAAACTAGTAGAAACAAGTGCCTTACTAGTAGAAACAAGTGCCTTATTAGTAGTAACAGGTGCCTTATTAGTAGTAACAGGTGCC